AAAAAAAAAAAGGTCGATTTCCTGGCTAGGCTCCGTAGTGCATGCTGTAATCCCAGCAACTGGGGAGGCAAAGACAGGATGACTGAATCCCCGTCTCTAAGTAAAAAAAATACAAAGAGCTGGGGATGTGGCTCAGTGGTTAAGTGCCCCTGAGTTCAATCCCCTGTACCAAAAAAAAAGAATGAACACAAAACACTCCTTTGCTGGGAGCAGTGGTGCACACCAGTAATCCCAGCGACTGAGACAGCAGCTGAGACAGGAGGATTCCAAATATAAGGACAGTCTAGGCAACTTAGTGAGGCCTCAGCAAGTTAGTAAGACCCTCTCCCAAAAAAATAAAAAGACGGGAAATATAGCTCAGTGGTTAAGCATGCTGGGTTCAATCCCCAGTACCAAAAACAAACAAGCAACAAACCAAAACACCCCACTCCTTAGACCTGCAGAAGAGGTGAGGACCCTATGCCACCTGACAGAGGTGAGCCCCAAACGCCAGGCATGGACGGCTCCAACAGTCCCCACCTCTCAGGACTCACACCCAGCCAGATCCAGAGCGCACACTGCCTGGTGTGCTTGGGCTACTGTTCAGAGCCCAGGAGGAGGCCCACGTCCTGGGAGAAGAGGCAGGATCTGTCCTCCTTTGGTTCAAATGTCTGCACTGCACACCTGGGCACTGAACCACAGGATCAGTCCCACTCAGAGACCCTGAAGCCCTACAGAAGCACCTCAGCCACCAGAGGGGCTCATTTTTCACCCGGAACTAAAAGTTTGCTATGGAAGCAACATCAAAATCCTGCTGGGCGTGGCCACGGCCCTGGCTGCTTCCGGCAGGGTTTTCACTTCAGTAGCAGCCACCTGTACACCTGGTTTCTCTCCCCAGAGACGATGCCCTCTCACCAAGCAGGGACCGGGGTCAGCCCCACCTGGCACAAAGCAAGTGCTCAAGAAAGACTTCTACCAGAGGCCACCATAATGAGAGTCACGTCAGCCAGCAGCTAGCTACACAGTGCCTTTCATCCTAAGAGCCAGCAGTGACCTGGCGTGGGGACCCGTAGCTTTGTTCCATCTCACAGACACTGACTCGGAGATGACAGCAGCTCCACCAGAGACTCCCTGGACACCTTCAAACAGCCTCAGAGGCCACAACCAGCTCTGAGTGACCAAAGCCTTCATTAAACCCCACCACCAAAATCTGGGCAATTTGGGCTCAGTGGCAGAGCATCTGCCTGGCACATGAAAGGCACTAGGTTCAATCCTCAGCACCACACAAAAATAAGTGAATAAAGGCACTGGGTCCGTGTACAACTCAAACTGTTTTGTTTTTTTTAATCTGGGAGATTTAAATTCATTCGAGTGGGCCAGAAGTGCACCTCAGCAGCAGAGCTTGTGCTTTGCATGGGTGAAGCCCTGCGTTCAATCCCAGTACCACAAAGAATGAGTAAATCCATTCATAAATCTACCAGGTTGTCACAGCTATAAAGAGAGGATAAGAAAATGCAGTCCAAAGGAAAAGAACAGAAACAGAATTTTAAAATCATAAGAACAAAACCATAATCCTGACCCCACAGGTGAGAGGCTGAAGGAGCACCTGGTGCACGTGCAGCGCTCAGGTGTTGTGGGTTCCCATGTTCCAGGTGATGGGACCAACATCTGCTTTGGTATATGTCCCTGGTAAGCTCTCTTCTCTAGGAACATCAAATTTCTCAGATGAAACTTACAGAGGTGGACCCTCCCAGAGTCCGACTCCACCTCCTGGTCATGCACACCCTTCCTTTGCCAGTTCAAAAGTCCTTGTGTTTGTTCTCCAGGTGTCTATCGGGCACTCGCTCTGTCCCTGCCTCATGTTAAGCACTGATAAGACTCACACTGCCCTGAGGAGCTCACTTGCTCTGTCTCCGGGGCCAGTCCCACAGTCCCTTACAATGCCACAGTTGTTATAACACACACAACACCTCGGCTTCCTGACCGTCCAGCACAGAGAATGAGCAGCAGCAGAGCAGGAGTGTCTGCGGGGTCCAGGAAGGTCCCAGCAGCAGCTTGGAGCTGAGATCTCCAGGAAGACGGGGGCCGCTCGGGAGGCAAACGAGCAGGGGCAGCTGTCTGTGCCAACAGCACACAAAAAAGCCCAGGGGTGAGAGCGCCAGGGACTGAGCTCAGGAGCTGGTAACGGGAGCGCCCACGTGAGGGAGCTGGAGCGGGTGCAGGGAGGGGAGACCGCGAGGTAAAGGTGTGAGCTGTAAGCACAGCAGGCCTGGCTGGGGATGTGGGGTGGGAGGAGGCTGTGGGATCAGACTAGCCAGGGGTCAGTGAGCTGTGCCACTTCCTCCCTGCTGTCCTTGGGAAGGCTACTCATGGGTGACACGGAGCTTATATTTCCACTTGGCAAAGGCATTAAGTAGTGTGTCAGGATGAAACTGTCGGAACACGCACAAAGCACCTGCACATACCAACAGCCTCGTAAATGCTGGGTGCCATCACTCCTGTTCTTGAGGGATGGTACTGCAGGCTCCTTGGGGCAGGGAACATCTAAGAGGGGAGAGATGCTCACAGGTCAAGGCGACGGTGGGCAGTGCTTTAAGTGGGAAGGGGCTGCTTGGAGTGGCTGAGCCTGCAGGGCTGAGGGCCTGTAGCAGATGGTCTTCAGACCCCTCCTAGTTCAGACATTCTGTGCCAGGTGACAGGTGGGTCTGCCAGGCTGACACACAGTAGGTGCTCAGGGAATGTTTGCTGAATGAATTAATAAGGATCTTCCCATATCTGGACACCTTTTCTGAGACAAAACCATTGAAACCTGTTCTTGTCTGTCCCCACTTCAGAAGTCACCCCCACTACACCGATCCCTATCAAGAAGAGCACTCACGCTGGACAGACTGGGCCGGGACCTGAGAAGCTAAGCCTGGTGCTAAGCCTGCCTCCCACAAAAAGCCTTCACAGGATTCCTCGCAGCCTCCAGGGCGTGGCCTGCTGAGGCCCCTGCTGCTGCTGACCTCAGTGGGGAGGCATCCCCTCCTGGGGTCTGAGAAAGGTGAACCCATAGGGCACTGTTACAATGTGAAAGGCTACTGTCCCCTCAGAAATCCCCAGCCCAGGCAGGGGTGGGGTGAGGGGCTGCTGACAATGTGGAATGAAGTCATTCCTTGCCTGGAGAGGGAGGGGTCTTTTCATGGAGAAAATGACAAACCAAGACTACAGGGGAGGGGGCTCCTTCCGGCTTGGGGGTGGGGGGCGCAATCCATCAGTATGGATGACCTCACACCCAGCCAGGCCAGCAGACCCCACCCACACCTGCAGTCCCAGGCCCTTTTTCAAACAATAAGAGGCATCCCCACCCACACCACCCGGCAGATGCATGACTAGGGTTCTTAGAACAGATCCACCTAGAGAGGCAGCAATCCCCCATCCACCAGCCAAGCCAGTGGGTTCAGGGTGCAGAGGCCAACAGGTCCCTGGCAGAGTGGCTGGAGGAGAGGGCCAGGCAGGTACAGACAAAGACTCAGCAAGCCAGAGACATGGCCCTCCATGTGAGCTGGGGAGGTCCACTGCCCTGCCTGCCGGGCTAAGGGTGTCCCCAAATCTCACTCCCTGCAGCAGCACGGAGGCCCCCAGGACGACTTCCTGGAGAAGGAAGGCCACTTGCAGAACCACCAAGAGGAAGAATCGAGATGGGACAGACATACCCATGGACAGAGGGAGACATCAAATGACCTGGGAAGCAGAAAAAGAAGGGGGACACAAAGGTGCAGAGCACTCGAGGTACCAAAAACCGAGATGGAGACACAGGGACACAGGAAAGACCTAGATGCAGGGAAGGAGAGCAGATTGGGACACCCAGAAACACCGAGATGGACACGCAGAGACAGACACGCAGAGACACTGAGATGGACTTGCAGAGGCACACTGACACGGAGATGGACATGCAGAAAAGGACACACGGGGCGGACACGCAGGGACCCAGGTGCAGACACACGGAGGTGGACAGCAAGGAGGCGGACAGCAGGAACGCGGCCCGCAGAGCCGCGCGGAGGCGC